CATGCAGCGGTCCTTAGTGCTTGCATTGTCAACCATGACACATCACTGGCCTTTCCTGCAGTTGACATTGTCAGGGATGTAAAATGCGAATTGAAGGGATGGGCCAGTATGCACGATGGCAGCAAACTTTTGCTGTGCACTTCCAGGGCAATGAAACGGAGCATACACAGCATGAAAGAATGGGAATGTGAATCAGGGGAGACACACACTGTCGCTGCCAGTGAGCAGGTAAAAGACAGGCCGAAAGAAGTCCCTGAAACACCACCAGCTGTGGGTCCAGGCACGGTAAGTGGCCATCGAACGCCTTCCTTGGGGGCAAAGAGTGCTCTGTGCTTCCGTTGCCTGACTGCTGTTAGGCATACTACATTTTCGCAAGCCATCCGTTCAACACTTCCATCTGTGCAGACCATGCCAGTGGCTCATCTTCTGTCATCCTGTGCTATTGGGCCAGGTTTTGACCCGTTTTGTCGTTTGGATCCCCTTCAGTTCACATGGGTGCTGTGCCCCATCTTTCAGCCCAGCACAAGGCCTGCTGACGTGCTGCGGCCCCAGCCTCGGGCACTGGTGTTGTGCGCCCACGACAGGCAGTTGATGCGTGTTGCTTGTGTGTCCCAAGGATGGTGAAGGGGACACCTGGGACCATTTCGTCCAAGACAATTGGGCACCAGTCCTAGAGAACGCCTTTGGGTGCAGTTGGCGGGACAAATATCCCGAGGAGATCACAGCAATTTTGTGGTGGGCAGTTAAGCAGCGAAATCGGGAAGCAGGCACACCAGCAAGTGCACCAACTGACCCTGTGGCTGGATCGATGCCCCAGGTGGCGACACCCCAAGGGCTGCCTGTCGGAATGGGGCCCCCACCAATGAGCACTCCTGGCCTGGCGCCGACGAGTGCGGCCCTGATTTTTGGAACCTTCAGGCCGCAGCAAATTGGGGACCTTCCAGCACAAGCAGCCTCTGGGGAAGTGCAGATGCCACCTTCACAGTCTGGTGATGGTGGTAGTGTCCATTTTGGGTTGCAGCAAGGCCTTGCCGAAGACATGGCGTTTGTGGCAAAGGATGCCTTGCCGCCCGTGGCTCCTGAAACGAACACCATTCCTGTCATACCATTGGACGCGTTTGACAGCAATTCCGAACTAGAGTTGCCGGACCTGGGCGATGTGGCCTTTGCAAATGATGATGAAGATGAGCCAGAGGGCCCAGCCAGCAAACGTTGCAACCTCGACTTGTCGCTCAATCTGGAGCCGATATTTGGAGATTTGACGCTGGGCGATGACAGCAAGGGTGATGGGAATGGTGCTGGTGGCATGATTCGTCCCATCGTAAAGGGCAGCGATGGACTGGACAGAGTGGATGACCTGGTGACTGCTGAGGAAGAATATGACCCAGAGCACCGTGAAACAGAAAGAGCAAGTGTGCAAAGGTCAGAAATGAGGCGAAAAGTGAAGAGAATGGGATTGCATCAGAGGCAGGCCACCGGTGCTCAGACAGTTTACGAAGCCAAGGGCTCTGTAGGCTTGTCTCCTTGTTCACAGATGCCCCAGGCTCCACCAGCATCTGTGCCGTCACAGGTGTGTCGTGGTTCTGCTCAGGTTTTCCCTGTGGCCCATGCCCTTCCTCAAGGTGAAGGGGGCAGATTGTTTGGAATGCCTGCTACTGGTCTGGAAGTCCCTTGTGATGCTGAGCAGGAGGGATTTGGTGGTGGTCGGTTGGGAAGAGGCACCCAGGCACCCTTGGGGTCAATGGCCGCCATGGGAGGATTCATGATTGCAAATCCTGCAAGGTGTGCAGACCTGAAGAGCATAAAGTTTGGCACATTTGCATCATCCAACTTGGTGCACCAGGGTCGCCCAATGCTTGGGCCCTTCCCCAATCGGATCCCAGTGCCTGCAAATGGGAGGAATTGCATGGAAACTGGCTGCATTGGGGCCAAACCAGCTCCAGATTCAACTCAGGGGACTGTCACTTCGTGCAGCTTGCGATTGCAACCTCCCGGTGTGACTTTGCCTGCGGACGTTAAGCAGGAGGCTGGTCAACCTCAACAGAGTCAGCATCAGACGGTGTCCTCACCTTTTGTGAATGGGCAGTCTGAACTGCCGGGACCAAATATGCCAGGTGTCCTGGAGGGCTCAAAGCCAGCCCTCCCTGGCGTTCCTCAATTCATGCACTCCACAATTACACCCATGTCGTTTGGGATGGACCCAACAGGCGGCTTGAGCCAGGGCCAGGGCGCTGCCACAGCAGGCAGTCCTGTCTTCCACCCAACTCAGCTGTACGGCATGTATGGCTGTGGGTTGCACCCTCCAGGCACTGCAGCCTGGGGTGTGACAGCATCGGGCAGCCTGCCTGGCAATGGGGACCCTCAGCGAGGGGCCCCAGTGGTGGCAGTGCCAGCGCCCATGCTCTGTGTCCCTTCGACGCTGCCAGTTGAGTACGGCATGCCTGTGCCAGTCTTGAGCTTGAACCAGAGTGGGCAGCCGAGTGGCGCAGGCAGTGCTGTGCAGGGTGCGGTGTCGATGCCGGCCATGTATGTGATGGAGAGCCGGGTGAGTGGCACTCTGCAACTGCCAAGTGCATGTTGCCATCGACACAAGAGGATGGAGTTGTGCCATGGGAACCCTAGCTGTATTGTTGTTGGTGTGCTGAGGGTTTCTCTGTTGCTGGATGGAGCTTATCATCTGCACAGACTGAGATGGTCCAGGCTCTTGGAACCTGAATCTGGCTATCATATCAAAAATATCAATGACTGTTAGGGTCCATTGAGTACTGGGAGACCCTGTGGGGTTCTGCACCTCTAACTGCGGACAAGCTGACAAGACAGAACATTGTCCCCGGCCCCCCCCAAAGTCCCAACATTTGCTATGAGCTAAAAGCCAACAAATTGTTCCTTTCTGTGGCAGGGAAGTTGTCTGTGGGGCATAGAATATTCCATATTCTGATGGATACTTCTGTTTGGGATGTCCTTGCAGGTTGCAAGTCATCACATCCAGCAGATCATTGATGGAAGGGATGGGATTGGGCGTGCACCTGTGCACGTTGCTGCTGTCGCTGGCCGTGCAGATATCATAGAGCAGCTCATTTACGTTGGCTGTGACTGCTCTGCTGTCCTGCACATGGACCTGCTTGGGGCAGCACACAAGAGGCAGCCGCCTCCTGAAGTGGGGCCTCCACCCACTTTGCCAAGCCATCCTCGGAATTGTAATGAAGGTGGTGATGGTAATGCACAGCTGGCAACAGGCCAGCCAGCTACCAATCTGGCTTTGTCACCAGTTGCATGCTGCGATGGCCGCATGCTACCTGATCGCAGCCATCACCGTTGGTATCAGGGTAGCATGCATGCAAGGGGTGGCAAAGACACAAATGACATCCATGCAGGGAGCCTGTGTGAGAGTTCACGAGTCACCGGCGGTGTTTCTCAAGGATCTAATTTGAAACCCCAGGGTGTCAAAATTCAGCCTTTTGAGAAGGATCCAGGCAAGTGGAACTTTGGCATTTGCTGTTCTGACTGCTTTTGCAAATTCATAGCCTGAATTGTGGGCAAGGGCTTTGGTGGCAAATCTGGCTTGAAAACAGCCAGCAACACAACTAATGAGCCCTCTATTCCATGGAAAATAATAGGTTGTCTCTTGTGATGGAATGTACTGGTGTTCTACTGCATTTGGTTGTTCCCGCATTTTAGCTCCTGGGCCCAAATTGCTCCTCGTTCTCTCCAACCTTGAGACTTGATTTGCAGGAGGGCAGTGTATAATTGCCCATGGCATATATAAGTTAAATTTGCCAATGAAAACCCCGCTCGAGGCCAACATGTAGCAGCATATTGACTATCATCGTCCATCATGCTGCACTGCATATAATGCACATAGAATGCATTCCTCAGACCAATGTGGCTCCCCAAACAGGCAGGTATTGGCTGTGTGGTGGTGGTTTGGCAGAGGCACATCACTCGCTCAGCAGCAGTGCAACTGATGTGAGGCATCCATTTGATTCGGCCTTGTTGTGGCATCTGTGTCAGTTGCACAAGTCAACATCGCTGATTATCACCGGTGTGGGCTGCACTTTGATGTGCCAAATGGGGCCATCGTTCAGCAAAGTAGTGTTGTCGTTGGGTTGTCGATTGGGCTTGCTGTTGCTAAAGCCACTTTGCGGATGGCATGATGAAGTGCCCATCCGTTAGATATATTGATGGATTCAATTGTGCAATTTACCATTGGTCCTTGTTGTCACAATTTAGTCAATTTCTGACAGACAGGCAGAGCACCTTCCTTAACAAGGTGCACATGCCAGCATGTTGCGATTGGTGGCAATTGCCAACACCCATTCAATACAAAAAGTGCAAGTAGCGTGTGATGTGGAACAGGAGGCCAGGAAACCATGGACTAGCTGAATTTCAATGGCAAGATTGGTGTGCAGATGAGAGTCTTTTGGGTGGATAATGTGTCAAAACTTGAAAATTTTCTTCCTGCTCTTGCAGCTCAGTGGGCAAAGTCTGAAATTCAAGGACTGTGGGCATGGCGTGAATGACCGTGTGGCACTCACCAGCCACCTGAGTGTGGCTTTAATCCGTTTTTCCTTGTGTTTGGATCCACTCCCAATTGTATGCTCGACCTCCAGAGGCATGACACTGTGACAGTTATGTGAGCATGAATTTGAAATTTAGAGGTTGGGTCTGAGCTTAGCATCAGGTTGACATTAAGCTGCAGGTATGAAATTGTGGTACTATATATGTTATCATACAACATATGATCCTATATATATTGTATATGGTGTCGCTTGATGTTGACCATCAAAACATTGCCCTAGTGTCCCCCTAACGTTTCAGTCTAGCCACACACCTCTGTTGGGTGTGTTTTGGTATCTTGTGTACAGTTTTGAGTTCCCACTGCAGGGCTGAGCTGTGCAAGCATGCCGGGCCAAATTGGAGCGCCTACTGTGGGCAGGCGTACTTCTTTTTTCTCCCTATTTTGTGCTGACCTGCTGGAAAGTGCTTGATGTGTGCCAGGTATGGGCATGGTCAGCTTCAAATTCTGCAATGCTCTGCACCTTGCCGCATACTATGGCCACCTCAACGTTGTGGACCTGCTGCTGAGCACCAAGAGATGCGACCCCCAGGGGACAAATGAACATGGCTGCACTCCTCTCCACTTTGCTGCGAACAAGGGCCACAAGCACATTGTGGCAAGGTATTGGGTTCCCCTGACCTACAGTATCTGAACTTGTGACCGCAATGTTGGCTGCCTCCTGAGCCCTGGAAGAAACAGAGGTGATGCAGGTTTGCACCTTGCCATCGTGACAATTGTGTGGACTCTTGCGTCTTCCGCTGGTGTGGTGGTATGGCACACCACAGGATGTGTCTTGACTTGGAGATTTGGAGTTGAGCCTGTCGGTGGTTAGGAAGTTCAAAATCTCTCAGAGTGCTGCTCTCTCCACAGCAGCTGTTGTTAAGAAAAAAGGGGTTCTGGACATAAGGTATGGACTTCTTGTAGTCATTGCTTCTCAGTAATCACCAAATTGGATTTTCTTTTGCAAGGAATAGATGGTTGAGCTCAATGATTGCCAGCGACACTGGCCAAGTTGACTCATTGCAGAAACCAATGTTTTGTTGCTCAGGCTCTTGAAAGTACAAGGAATCAAAATTGATATATGTGATGTTCATGGTCGCACACCATTGCACCATGGAGCAGCTCAAGGGCACGCTGGTGTTGTTGATGAGCTGTGGCCAAGGGGCTGCGAAATTGATGCTGCTGATGCTATGGGATGGACTGCTCTTCACTATGCAGCACATGCCGGGCACACTGATGTGGTGTCCAAGCTCGTGATCGCGGGCTGCCCTGTCCAGAAATTGGACAACTGTGGCTATACTGCAGGCCATTTGGCGGCCCAGGGAGGTTATGCAGATGTTCTTGAAAGACTCCTCCATGCCGGCTACGATCCAGACACTCTGGGAGGCATGACTGTGCTGCACCATTGTGGCGGTTCCACAGCTTTGCACATGGCGGCTGCCCATGGGCACACCAAGGTGGTCAGGCAGCTGTTGTGTGAAGGGAGCAGTCCTTCCAAGGAGGATTTCCGTGGATTCACTGCACTGCAGTGTGCAGCAGAAGGGGGTCATTTGGAAGCATTCCAGGCACTCCTCCAGGTCGGCCATGGGCCTGCGCTTCTCTGCTGTGATGGCACAATGCATTTCAGCAGTATCCTGGGTTCAGAGATTGTATCTTGAATGCGGAGATTTGCCCCCTGGGTGACTGCCCATCACTGTGGAATTTGTTCTTTGGTCTACTCACATAGAATGTGTGTCAAAACACTGTGTCAGTGTCCAACCAGTTGATGGGCTGTAGGCCATATGTGTTCACACACTCCTGCACGTTTATTGCCAAGATTGGGCTCTTAAGGGTTCACTTCCTGCAGGCTGGTTGCAACCCCAAGGCACACGATTGTTGTGGCACAACGGTGCTGCATTCTGCAGCAAGTGGAGGCAATTGGGACATCATGCGCAATTTGCTGGACCTTGGTTGTGACCACTCGCTTCAAACGAAGTACGGTCACACAGCACTTCACCATGCTGCTCAGGGTGGAGCACAACTGGTTGCACGGAACCTCCTGGATCTTGGGTGTGACATTCAAGTCACTGACAGGGAGGGCAATACCCCATGGCATGCTGCAGCAGAGGGGGGTAACGTGGAGGTGCTGCAGCTGTTCCTTGACAGGGGGTGCGAACTGGAAGCAAGGAACAATGCAGGCTGCACAGCCCTTCACTGCGCAGCAAAGTCAGGGAGTGGTGGAGCTGTCAGGGCGCTCCTTGACAAGGGAACGGACATACGGGCGGTGTCGAGCGAGTCTCAGACAGCCCTGCACTACTCTGCCGAGATGGGCCACGATGACATCGTGCTGCTGCTTCTCGAGACTCTGGACAAGTGCACAGTGAACCATCAGGACGCTTCTGGATTGGCAGTTTTGCACCATACCGCAGAGCAGGTGAATGATTGAAAGTCAGCAAATGTCAAGCAGTGTGCCATGTGTTGGAAATCGAGCCATTAGGACACAGGTGGCTGTTGAGGGGCTTGCAGTTGGGCTGTCCATGCACTAACTTTGTTTGTGGGAACGGCAAGTTCATTGTGATCATGGACAACAGAATGTTGTATGCACTACGGGTTGTGATCATTTTTGTACCAGTGCCTTATTCCCCTTGCGCATTTCTGTGCTTGATGTGCAGTTCATGCCAGCAATTGTAGGTTGAGGCTTAGTGTTGTCAACACAGAAGACATCCACATAAGGTGTCATATCGCCTGTTATTGTTGTGCCAGGGGAACAAGAAAATGGTGAAAGCCCTTGTGGAACGGGGGGCGGATGTGAACTTGCAAACCAAGGAGGGCTGCACCCCGCTCCATCTAGCAACACATGGCCAATACCAAGGCGTTGTGGAGATCCTGCTGGAGAATGACTGCGACACCTCGATCAAGGACAGTGAGGGCTGCACTGCACTCCACTACGCAGCTCAACGTAGCAACCTGCCTCTGTTCAACCTCCTGCATGCTGGTTGCATGACTGGGGACAAGGACAACCAGGGTTTCTCTCTCCTCCACTATGCTGTTGAAGGGGGCAACCCAGACATCGTGGGCACACTGTTGTTCACAGGTGGCTTGACACTTTGAGCTACATGTTATTGCCGTTACGTGTATGAGAGCAACGCTGTGATGGTAATGCTTGAATTGCTAAAGTCGAAATCGACAAACAAGTGCCCTTGAATCTTCAAGGTCCTGATTGGAAAGGCCCAATGGTTTCCATAATCTGCATCTTGAAACCACTGGGCGTGATACAAAGCAAGCCCTTTGTGAAGGAAGACATGAGCAGTCACTGTTATCGCAATGGTACCAGTCCCAGGCCCGCTATGTCTGATTGTTTTCCTGTTTTGCGAAGGAAGACATGAGGTGAAGGGAACAGATGTCACTGTGTGGAAGGAGAAGCCTCCCATAAACCGTGATCCTTCAGAGATGCTACAAGTTCTTGTTGTAGTTTCTCCCCATTCTCATCAATAGAGGACCAGACCATACACACAAATGTGCATTTATGGGGTTCTTTGTGTCTGTGTTGCCAGCAAATTGTGGGAACTGTGTGGCACAGGGCTAGTGTCCAGAGCAAGAACCTCATACTGGTGCATGCAGGTGCAGCTTCATATGACAACATGGACAGCTCCTCAGAGGTGGTGAATGCCCTGCACCTGGCTTGCAAGCTGGGCCATGCTGTGGTGGTGTCGTACCTCCTGAAAGCGGATTACAGGGTTGACACAAAGGGGCCAGATGGCTGCCAGCCCCTGCACTATGCAGCTCAAGGCGCCCCAGGCCTGTGGGGTCAAAAAGAGGCCAGTCACCATTTTCATGTTGCAAACCTCCTTCTCGATGCTGGTGCTGACCCACATGCTGTGGATGATAAGGGTTGCAATGCTCTGATGTATGCAGCAGGTGGGTGGGAATGGCAACGGGGACCAGCGAGCTGCAGAATCTTGTTTGTTGAAGATCCCCCTTGCTTCCATTAATTTGGTGCAAGCCACTGGGTAGCATCACATACAGGACATCCCACATAAGCGCACAGTCCGTGGGTGTTCAGTCTCATGCTTGCTTCTGCACTTGCAGCCCAGTCTAAACTGTTGTTCAGCATCTGTGCCCTCTTGCGCAGGCAGCGGTGAGCTGGAGATGGTCCTCAAGTTGTTGCTGCTAGGCGTGGACTGCACAAGACTGGACATGAACCAATGGACCTCCTTGCACTGGGCGGCCACAAGTGGCAATGTAAATGTTGTCTCCAAGCTGATCCAGGCAGGAGTACCTGTTGACACAGTGGACAACAGAGGCAGGCTGCCGCTGCATTGGTCAGCAGAGCAGGGCCACCTAGGGCCCGTGACAGCCATCTTGAAGGTCATGCTGGATAAAAAGGTGGACGTACATCAGACAGACAATGAGGGGGCTACTGCAGTGCAGTTGGCAGCTCGCCATGGGCATGCGGAGGTGGTGGCCAAACTTCTGGAATCTGGGAAGACAAAAGACGTCAAGGGTCTGACGGCGCTGCACCTGGCAGCACAGCTGCGGATGGAGGACGTTGCACGGCTGTTGCTCGGCATGGGGAAGTGCGATGTTAATGCTAGAGATGCAGACAACTGTACACCTCTGCACTACTCTGCTGAGAATGGTAGGATCCTTTTGGTTCACTTGTGGGCTGCTGTAGGCTGCTCTCAGTGCCTGATTTCCATCAAAGGACTCAGCGCAGCAGTAGAACCACATCATGTCACTGATGGGCTGGGAACAATGCCATGATCCCAGCGTCCTGGGCAGTTAATACACAGTCAGTTTCTGGTGTGCAGTTGTGTCAAACACCCAGGGATGAGTGTTATGTGTTTGCAAGAGGGAATGTGTGAGTAAGGTTTTGTGTGGCTGTGGTGTAAACAACGGGCACAACATGTCCTTCTGTGTTGTGATAATTGCCTCTTGGGCAAAGTCGTTGACAGCAGTGTCTGTTGTGCAGGGTGTTCTTCAATTGCCGGCATGCTGTTGGATGCCAATGCAGACGTGAATGTAACTGGTGCTGATGGCATGATGCCAATCCACAAGGCATCGTCTGAAGGCCACTATGATGTGGTGAAGTTACTGGTAGACAAAGGGGCTCTAGTCAACTTCTGCACGTCCACCGGATCAACACCTCTGCACTACGCTGGTTCAGCTGGAAAAGGAGATGTTCTGAAGCTGCTGGTTGAATCTGGCTGCCCTGTTAATGCGATGAGCACAGGAAACCTGAGCTGCAGTGCACTGTACTGTGCAGCCAGCAGTGGCCAGCTGGAGGCTGTGGACCTGTTGTTGCAGCACGGTGCAGAGGTGGACGCCATCTGCACCAATGACTGCACCGCGCTGCACGTTGCTGCAAGCAATGGTCATGCACAGGTAACAATGGCCCATTTGCTTTCAGGAACCCTATTGATTGTACTTGTCACGGCTTGATGGAACACAGCCCTTTCATCGGGGGTATTGGACAGAGGTGGTATTGGATGTTGTTCACAAAACTCATTTAGGATTAACACTTGGCTTGTGTTTCTGTTCCCCATTGCCAGTGATCGGGTTGCCCACAGTGGCATCGTTGCACGAATTTGCTGTGTTGAGGCTCATCTCAATGCGCACCAAAGGCGTTGTTGGGTTTTGTGCCCTGGATGTGTCTGCCAAAGGTGATCATCCATGCCTCCAGCGATCCGTTGTTGCAAGCAATTTTCTCACATTGACTTGCTTGTTTGCATTGTTCGAATTTGGGCTGTGCAGAATTGGAAACAAATGCTTTTGCAACTGAGTTTATCCAGGAAATCTTAGGAAATCTTAGGAAATCGGAAATAGCTCATGCCATACTACTCTGATTCATAAGATTGTTTCAGAACGATTGCTGCAGCCTAAAACTGCTGGGATGGAGAATGCAAAGTTGTGGGCACCGGGGGAGGGGTTCTTTTGGTGGCCTACAGATAATACAGAGACCTGTTCAGCTTGTTTTCTTTTCAGCATAATGACAGGAAATCAGGCAATATTTGCATTGGTGGGTTACAACTCACTGGCAGTGGCATGGACTGGCGTGTTGCCCCGCTGTTTCAGAACAGCTGGACTCTGAAGCTGATGTTTTCTGCGACAGGTTCTTTGGCCGGAACACAGTTAGTGTGATTGTCATTGGTCAAGAAGTTTGAAAGGCGACCAGGCTGTCACTGTCCATTGTTTCCATTTTATTCTGTTCTCCTAGTGCACAATTCTAAACAGGGCACCTCAGTGCTTGAGCACAGTGCTGGAATGTTGCAGCTCGGGTGACGGCAGCTTTTTGAACACAAATGAGTATAGTGCTGGACGTCCAAAATTTCCTTGCAAACTTTTCCTTCGCAAACCACAGAAGGTAATCTCCACAGCAGTTTTGACCAGCACAGCACACAACCCCTCTTGTTTCGCAGCTGCCACTGACACTTGTTTGTCATGGGTGGTTAGGTTGTAAAGAGGTTGCTGGAAGCGGGAGCAGATCCAGATCTGCAGGCCGCAAATGGGGCTGCAGCAATACACAACGCTGTCAACAACTTGCACCTGGAAGCCTTGGAAATGTTGCTTACAGCTGACTGCGATGTGGACATTCAAAACTCTGGCGGAAATACTGCCCTCCACATCGCTGCCTCGAAAGGTATGGGAAGTGCCACTGGTCCTTGCTTGGTTCCCTGCAACTGCACAGGAAGATGGGCCCAGGATGTGGAAGTGGAGTTCACCTTGCTGTCAGGTAGATGCTGTGGTACTGCTTTGATGTGACTGTGTGTTTGACACTTCTCTTGCAGGTAGCCAGGAGCTTGTACAAGAAATACTCAAGGCAGGCTGCGATGTCCATATCAAGAATGCCAAAGGCTGGCAGGCTGTACAGTCAGCAGCCTCCTGTGGCTTCCTTGAAGTGGTGTTGCTCCTTGTGGCCCATGGGGCTCAGTTTAAGCAGAAGGGCGAAATGGATGTCTCAAAGCTCCTGTGCCGGAAATCCAATCTCAAGTGAGTCTTTACTTTTCCAAGAATGTTCATCATCCACAGCGGTCAACACTGGCCTTCAGTTTTGTGCTGTAAAAATTCTTCTGTTGATCAGTTTGTGCTGTGTGCTTCGCACTGGCTTTGTGTGGATTGTTTTGTGAGGTGTTTCATTTCAGATGTTTCATTTGGTTCATGTTTAGATTACCTTGCGGCTCACTTGAGGCTGGCGTGGCAGGGGAAGTTACGTCGATGGCCGACTACGACTTGCAGAGAGGGAGAAGCACAGGAAGACGAAGCCCATGGAGCAGGCAGCTGATACCCCAACTGGGACTGAGCTGAAGGAGAGGCAGGCTCAAGCAGATGCCGCAATGGCGGAGCTCTTAGCTGAGGAACAAAAGCAGAGGGCAGCAGAGGAGCAGCTTGCTGCAAAACGAAAGGCCAAGAAGGACAAGAAGAAGAAGCGAAAGGATACTGCCAAGGACAACAGAGCAAAGAACGACCATACTGATGGGATGGGTGGTGGGGATTCGAACGGGGCAGTTCCAGAAGATGAGGACAAGAGTACATTCAGCGCATTGGATGTGGAGACGATTGGCAGTATGGCGAAATTGAGCCTTTCTGATCCCCCTGACACGATGTCTGTCGCTGCCAACGAGCGGGAGCCTGAGCAGGGTAAGGTGAAAGGGTGCCCTGGAAAGGAAAGTGGCGCAGCAAGTGTACAGTTGAAGGAGGGAGTGAAGGAGAGTGACAAGAGGTTACATGATAGGCTAGAAGAGGGGCAGAACCCTCATCCCTCGGAGGGGTCGAAGAAGAAGGGAAAAGGGTTGGAAAATGGAGAAACTGTGGGCCCATCCTCATCTCAGGGAACTGTGAAAATAATACGCTGCCACAGTACAGCCACACCAATAATCTCTGTGACCAAGAACAAAAAGGCAGCAGTGCACCCTGCTGGCTGTGCTGAGAGTCAAAAGAGGCAGACAAGAAGAGCCTCTTCAATAGCTTCTTCTTTCCAGGAGCGGAGCCAAGATCGGGGGAAGGAACCTGTAAAGATCAAGGCGCAGAGAACGAGGCACAAGACTGGAGGGCCACAGCAGAATGATGGCCACCAGGGCACCTTGGCAGCCAATGGGACAGTTGTGGTGGTACGCTGTCAAAAGTCATCAACGGATGCTGCCAGCACTCAGCCAGCATGGGTGGCAGACTCTGCAAAGTCCGACCGGATGCAGCAATGCACACTCACAACTGGGGGCTGCCATCCTTCTTCGAAGTCTCCACTGCGAGCAGGCCAGATCTCTGGACAGCAGCGGCAGGGGACTCCTGTTGCCACTGGCACAACTGCAAGGGCCACACCCGCAGTCCTTGTGCACAACCTGAAGCCAAAATCTGGTGTCTCAACTACCGGCAAGGAGGCTGGGCACCTGGAGGTGGCAAACCAGGCCATTGGCAGTGAATCCACACCCAGAGGATCTTTGCCACCTCAACCTGCTGCTGCAGCAGTCCCTGAATCTCCATCGATTCCCCAGGTCAAGAGTAGGGCAAACCCATGGCAGCGCCCTGCAAAATCTACAACTGATTCAGCAGCACCAGCCTTGCAACTTCCAGTCAGCTGTGCTCCTGCGGCAAAGGCAGGTTTGCTGAGGCCCCATGCAGCAATGCAAAAGGCCCAATATGCAGAAGGTGCTGGTGCTGCTGTGAGGGCTTCCGCATGCCCTCAGGCAGTGCAGGCCAACGATCAATCGTTGATGCATCCTGCCACTCAGACGAATGCCCAGTTGGTGGCTCAGTCCCCAACTGTGTCATCACAGCAGGCCAGGAGCTCTGTTCTACCGGTTGCAGACACAGCACCTACCAGCAGTGACGACCCCGCTGGAGGAAGGTCTGTGCAAGTGTGTCAGCCGCCAGCAGCATGGTGTCACACAGGGGTATCATCGGAAAGCGGATCAGCTCAGGGAGGAAGTAACTCACCATCGCAAACAGTGCGTGCCTCTGGTAATGAGTCTGCTGGTGCAAGATCTGCAGATGGCACTCAAATTGGAGACATGCAGGGAGCCCGGTCTTGGGGGTCACCAGGCAGCATGCAGGGTGTTCGACCCATCGTGTCAGCAGCACCGGCTGCCACTGCTTGGGTTTCGCCAACGAGGCAGCAGGGAATGCCAAGACCACAGGAGCCTGGAGGATCTCAGCCGGTGAGTCCAAGGATTGGGCTTGGCAGGACAGGTGGCCACACGATGGGCAAGAATCAGGATGGTGAAGCGGCACAGTCTCCAGAAGGCCCTAGGGTTGGCACCAGTCTATCTGGTTCTTCAATGATCCCAGGGAGGTCTCTTTCGGTGTCACAGGATGACTTTCCATTCCCAGGGAGGAGGGAGGTCACGTGGGGCGTCATCAATACAAGCAGCCAACTCAGTGGAGGATTGATTGAACTGGCGGATGACCACAAGACCACCGCAATGGAGAACATGCACTCGGGGCTGGGTGAGCCCATTGTGCCGCCCCCAGTCCCTGGCCACCCTGAGTTTGCTAACCTCAGCAAGCACCAGAAGGCCTTTGGAGAGGATCGGTATGCTCAGGTGCAGGGCGTGCCAAATTGGGGCAGTGGGCACCTGGTAGAGGGTGGCTATGTTCCGGGGCCGATGCATGCGATGTACCCAGGGGCATGGGGCCAGGGATGGGCACCTGGCCCCACAGGTCACATGGATGCCCACAAGGGTGTTCCAACACCTGGTGGCGGTGGTGCGCAGTATGCTAAGACCCCTCACCCAGCTGTGCCCAATGGATTGCCATGGCGAGTGAATGCCCCACTGACTTCAGCGGCAGCTGACGGTGTGTTGCAGTCAGACAGCAGCACACGCGGCTCTGTTGTGAACATTCCAGACGATCCTTGGGACATTGGAGACACAGAGAAGCCTGAGCCCAGGGTGTATGGCCAGGGATCACCTCGGTCAATGCCTCCTGTGCATAGCGTACCTGGCCGTAGTCAATTCTCCTGCCCTCTCACCAACAAGTTGATGGAAGATCCAGTCGTGGCTGCGGATGGCTTCACGTATGAGCGTTCGTCGATAGAGGAGTGGTTGGTGCAGAATGGCAAGTCGCCCATGACCAAGCAGCCTTTGCTGCACAAGGAGCTTGTGCCCAACCTCACAATGAGGGCAGCTATCAGACTGCTGGGCCCAGGCCAGAAATGAACATCACAGGGTTGGGGTACTGTGGGTTCAGGCACCTTGGATCGCATGGGCAGGGCAGAAACTCGCCTCAATGGTGCGCAATCCATGGAGGTCAGCCCCCTGAACGAGGAGATAGTGCGAGGAAGTAGGGAAGTAGACGTGGTGGTCTTTTCTGTTAGATGTGATGTGTGTTGCGCCCATATGTGTGGCACCTAATGTCTTGTAGGTAGCATGTGAACGAACTGCTTGGCTGCGGAGCTGCAGCTCATTTTGTGACATTTGGAGGAGAATTTGATTGCAATTCTTTTATGGTCCAAGAACTTGGCAGGCAAGTTGCGCATGCACGTGTGCGTGTATGCCGCAAGATTCTGGTGTAATATAATTTCGTTGTCTGGATCACATGACATGGGGTGTACCTCCAGTCTGCATGGCACACTGCCCCCAGGAGTTGCGAAATCGAACACAAGTGGAGTCACAGCAGAGACTGGCGTGTTTGGAGGCCATCGTGCTGGCCGAGCATGAGGAAACCTTGGAATTGCAGCCAGGTGGCTCTCCAAGAAATCCTTACTGCGCACATCGCCTTGCGCTTTCCAAAATATAGCTTAAAAGCACTCTTTTAGCAGCCTCAGCCCACCCATCAGCAGGAAGTGCGTGGGGCGCAGTCTACCCCGTGTTAAGCTTGTACCGCTGTACTGTTAGATTTTACCTTGTCTATGTGTTGGGCTCCATGGAATCCGCGGGGTTGATGTCAAGAAATGTGAATCGACAAAAAGCTGGAAAGGAGAGCGCCAGAAACGCTGTGAATTGTGAAAGGCGCATAGGGGTTGCGAGGGGCCGCGGCTAGCACTGGAGGGAAGCACTGAGGGTTCCCGCTTCCGGCTCAAGGGCACGTTGCAGTGTGATGCAACTGGGCTGAATGTCGAGCTGGCAATCTGTGCCATGGCTCCTGGAGTAGTGGTCAGCGACCCGGATTGGGCGCTGAGCACAACACATAGCTGACACAGGTATGTTACACATGGGTTACTTTCCCTGGCCACAGCACGCATTCGAGATGTGCGGAAACCACCCGCTGATGGTGTGCCATGTTGCTATTCAAAGCACAGGGGCTCCTTGCTGCCTTCGATGTGTGAACCCACTCCGGCAGACGCCCAGGTCCTGCATGGAATTGGGCAGGTGCGGCCCCAGTACTACAAGCGTAGCCCAGCGGCGTTGCACAACGGGACAAATATTGCAGCGGTGCATGTTGAATAAACGCTATTCCGGACGTTTCATTGGAGAGAATTGTTTATTTTCCCGCACAATTGTAAACAGCAACGGCGAGTGGAACGCATGTGCGATGGGCACACGTGGTTTCCCGACGGCTGATGTTGTTAGGTCGCTGGCTGGGGCGCTGCTGGGGAAGCTGTTCGGCAGGGGCAGTTTGGGGACGAGCGGGAGGCAACGGAGTTACGCGCAGAGCCCAAACCACGATGTCCCTTGACGGCCAGGTCATCCATTCACTCTGTACGTCATGGTAATGCCCAAGGACCATGTGGGTTGTACGCCCTACTGCGGGACGCCTCGCCGCTGGGCTGACCACAGGACCGTGCGAGCACACCGTGCTGTCACCGCACTGCGGTGCTGTCCTGCCTTGTAGTGCCACCGCAATGTCACACCCAACTGGCCTTGTGCTGTGCGGTTGGCGATGGGGAGGCTCTTTTACGGTACAGCCCTGCGATCTACCTGCCCAATGGCAGACTGAACATGTTATTACAATTACATATTCAGAACGTCACAAAATGTGACAAAATGTCCACAGTAGCCATCGCCCCCAGCGAACACGTGTTCACACCATCCCTCGCACATATTTTGTCCTTGATTGCAACCAGGGTATATCACCCGTAGTCCGAATAGTGCCTTTTCCGGTCCCAAATTAATTCCCAAGCGAGAAAAATCCCGACGATGGCAAAAGATCCCCAACAAAAACCAGGGAGAGGGCGGGCGGGTAGAAAACAAAGTGCAGCTTGACGGCGCGTCTCCTCCTAAGGCGTCGGCGCCGCCAGTGACGTGCCCCGGGCAAGCAAAGGAGCGGCCCCAAGGACCTCTCCCGCCTTGGCCACAGAACCAGACCAGTGGGGCCCCCTGCTGACGGGACACAGGCCAGGCAGCAATTTTTCTCCCCCCCTTCTTCGGGCCTCCCGTAAACTAGCTTACTAAGCGTAACCATCCCATCAGGGCATCTTAAAGATGGATTGAATGACGTGAACCCGTATTTCAACGAGTTTTGACTGAATTCAGATGTTGGGGGCAGGCCCCCAAGCACCGCCCCCAATCGGGCCCGTGTCAGAGGGACGTTGTACTTGAAAAGGTCGGGGGATTGGCCCTGGTTGTACGCAGAAAACCCGAAGCGCACCCCAGTGAAGCGGCAATGTACTGACGGACTGCGGTCCGGCGGATATTCCGGGCCTCCTGCAGGTGACTAGCGCAGAGGCGGTGCAAAAAGCGCTGCCGTATCGCGATTCCCCGGCTCCTAATGCCCAACTGGTGGCGCAGGGTACCCCACGCCAAGCGCACGCCCTCCCCACGTCTGCAAACCCAGCCACTGCCGAACAGCGTGAGCGGCCGGTGGCCCAGCGGCATCAACGGCGCACCTGTGGTTCACCCAGGGTTCCTCTCACAGCACCCGCAGCGCCCAGCCCACCCACGCCGCCAGGAACCTCGCCCTCCTGCGCAGACGAACCACAACCGCACCGGCCGAGGCGGCGGCCAACCTTGATGTCAACCCCCCGAGCGCTCCATGAAGCGGGACGGGCTGCGTTGTAGGGTGTACTACTCGCTGCTCGTGATCGCGTACTTCGAGGTGAGATTGACCCGGCCGTGGCCGCTGCGCCAGATGCTGCCAATCCCGCCCTTGGGCTGGGGACACTTGCGCTGACGGCTGTGAGCGCCTGCGCCCATGGGCGCCCTTCGCAGGCCGTGCTCTGGACATCCTGCCTGTTTGTCTGCGACGCGGCGGTGATCTCGGGAGGCCTCGCGGCGGAGTCCCACGACTACATCCTCCGAGAGACCGTGAGTCGTTTGATCCCCCCACCCACCCACCCGCGCATGCCCGCCCCCGAGCGCTGCCGGCTCACGATGCTCAGTGGTCAGGGAGGGTTCGAACATGCCACAGTCCAAGTACAAACGTGACATCGAGGCCTTGGAAGCGCGCAATTTCGGAGATCTCGTTGAAGAGAGCTTGGCCTGTGGGGCCCAGTCGTCCGGCCAGACGAAGCTGAAATTGTGGCGGTCTTGGCAATTTATTTGGATCTGGCGGTGTCTTGACGGCATGCCCGGGGCACCGCAGGTTAACCTCAAGCTGGTGGAGAGGCAGGGGGACGGCCAGGGGACGGAGCTGCCCGCCGGCCGCGAGCAGGAGCTCAAGAGGGCGGATCTGCGGTGGGGATCGGAGTCGGTGTGCGCGCTGCTTAGGAAGGAGCGCCTGGAGCCCGTCACGCCCGTCGTGCTGCAGCAGGCGATCGTCGGGCTCAGCAACCTGCCGGTGGGTGCCCCCGGGTTTTGGTCCTCGGCGGGGGTGTGAACGCGTGGGCTTGCAGTCTGAGCGGCGTGCATGGTGCCGTTGCGCTTGGCGTGGTGCGTTTGGGTGCCCCATGCACCGGATTCGGCCTGTGTCTCAAGCAGGCACCGCCGGGACTGCGTCTTGCTCGTCCTCGCTGCTGAGCGGGCCACGTTAATTGGCGCCCGGCTGTTTTGCGGATGGAGAAGCTCTCGGTCGTCATGTCGCCAGGAGGTGCCCTGTTGCGGTATTCTGTCGCGGGAGTTGTCCCTCACCGACATTGTTTGGCAACCACAGGAGCAGCCGGTGGTACAGGGCCTACGGGCGGACGTAGTCCACTTTGGGCAGTTCGCTGCCGCAGTGACACGACCGTCAAGTCTGCGGAATGCATCGTTATGTACACAAGTCGGCCTTAGTGAAACACAGCTTGCGACATGACTGTGAACTGGCATTGATTGCTTGGTTGCATCGGGGCGGCAGGAAGGATTTCAAACCGCCTTCGTGTGTGTGCTACACAGGTGCTGAACGGTCTGCCTGCTCCATTCTCTGGGGTGGAAGGATTTGCTTGAAGCTCCAACTTGGCACCAGCTGCAGGCACGGGGCTCTGCTTTGGGTGTTCTTCTCACTGACGAGCATTGCTGGTGAGAACGTGAAGAGAATTTGAACCAGGTGTAGTTTGGGGAAGTTGGGAAAAAATGACTCTGATTCTTATTGGACATCGTGACCCTCGTGGGCGTCGTGGGCTGTCCCTGCCAGCCCGTCAGCAGAGGGGCCAGAGGAGGAACTTCGCGTCGACAAGTGCTGCCACCCTCCAGAATGTCACTGTCCCGGATGCGCCCCCACTTTCAAAGCCTGCCAGCGACGTAATAGCAGGGGCAACGGCAAGAGCGGCATCTCAGGCCACCATCCACCCGCTGGACACCCTGAAAGTCAGGATGCAGGCCAAGCCCGTGGCTGGTGGCCTGCGCGCCCTCGCATACGAAAAGCTGGTGCTGAGGGGCCCAAAGGGTGCGGCCAGGGCTGTGCGCAGCCTGTACAGAGGCGTCTTGGGTGCTGCCAGTGGTGCTGGCATCGCCATTGGGGCGTATTTCGCCTTCTATGGCGTGGCAACCAGGCTGGTTTCGCGCCACACGAACTTGAACAGGACTGCAGTGGCTTTCGTGTCCGGTGCAGCAGCGGCAGCGGGCTCCAGCGTCGTGAAGGTCCCACTGGCCGTCTGCATCAGATCCGTCCAGGCCAAGGTGTATCCAAACCCTTTCATCGCCGCCCACTCCATCTGCAGGGCTGCTGGGCCGCAGGGCCTCTTCACTGGATACCTCCCCACGCTGTTGGAGGATGTGCCAGACATGGCGTTCAAGTTTGCTGCGTACGAGAGCCTGCGGTCGCTGCACAAGAGCATCGTGGGAAGGAAGGCCACTCACCAGGAAGATTTCCTCTGCGGAGCTGTGGCGGGTGCATTTGCTGCCGCGGCGACGACCCCCCTGGACGTGTTAAAGACAACGTTGATGTGCACTGCTGCGCAGAAGCCGTCACTGCTGCTGACCTCC